GCTAATTTTTTTTTTTTTTTTTGAGTTGGAGTTTCACTCTATCCCCCAGGATGGAGTGCAGTGGCACGCTCATGGCCACCACAGCGTCGGCCTGCTAGGCTCAGGTGATCCTTCCGCTTCAGCTTTCCAAGTAGCCGGAACTACAGGAGTGCGCTACCACACCTGACTAATTTTTTGATAAATTGTAGAGATGAGGTCTCACCAAGTTGCCCAGGCTGGTCCCGAACTCCTGGACTCAGGCAATCCTCTCGCTTCGGCCTCCCAAAGTGCTAGGATTACAGGCTTGAGCCACCGCACCCAGCCTAATTTTTTGATTTATTATAGAGATGCAGTCTCGCCATGCTGCCCAGGCTGATAAACCCGTGGGCTCAGGCAGTCCTCTCACCTCAACCTCCCAAAGTGTTGGGATTATAGATGTGAGTCACTGTGCCTGGCCTTTGATAATTTTAATTTTTGTAATAGGTTTGTGTGTATTTTATGGGAAAAAACAATAAAAAGACTAATGTCTACATATATTTTATGCATTCGTGACATACCTAACTTTTTATATTTTTAAAAATATTTCTAGGCTATGGTAATTCGTCAGCAAGTGTTTTCAAGTTGTCACAAATCTCCAAATACTCTTCCAATATACTTATTGAAAGAAACCCATGTATAAGTGGACCTGTGCAGCTCAAATCTATGTTGTTCAACGTTCAGTAGCTACCGCTATTAAGAAAACCAGAGTGCTTTGGTATGTTCCAAAATGATTACTTTTCCCCTCCCCTGTCAGAAGCAGTATGGGATTTTTCTCTGATATTGACTGTGTGGCAGAGCTGGTAGAGCTCCTGAAGGTAAAATTCACAAAAGTGTGCCCTTGCCCACCCCCATGATTGGGCCCCCTAGAGTTTTTAACTCTTAGGTTTGTCCATACAGAGCCTCCAGCAACTCATCCATTATAGTTCAGGTTTTCCTGCCCTGATAGTGCTTCCCAAGGAGATTTCTACTCATTGACTTTTGCTCTGGAAAGTTGTTATTATCTGTATCTGACTGTCTCTCCAGTTATGAGGACAGCTGTTTGTGCTGTGACCCTCACTTCTCTGAAGAATTTAAGAATCATTGATTTTCAACTTGTTCAGCTTTTTACTTATTGTTAACATGGAGTGGTGACTTCTAAGCTCCTTACATGTTGGACTGGAAACGAAAAGTCTCTCAGCCAGGTTTTTATTCATCAAATTCTCAAATATAGTTAACTGGAAGAACTTTTGTGATATTTTAACCCAGTGAATGGGAATGGGAATGAAAGAGCTCCTAGCAGGATGTAGGAATAACTCAAAGGCCTCTGGTTAGTAGCAGTGAGCTATAGAAGAAAGGGAAGAAGGAAGAGTGGAGAAGGAGAAGGGCAGGCAAATTATAAGTGACAGTTTGAGTATTGGATATCTAAGACTATATTTGTGGATAATGGCAACTAGGTTTAACTTAGGGGATAAAAGGCAACAGATCTTATCAAAGTATTTTTTCAGGGTCTATATTACTTTTTCTTGATGAGATGGACAGTTAAAACTTGCCTTGGGTTCTGGACAAAGGGAATGCTAATGTTGGTATGTGTGTGTAATGGTGGAGCCGAGGTGTTAAGACAGAAACATCTGACAGGCAGTGGGACCTAAAATAGAATGATGTTTGTATCCCTAGTGTCCAACACAGTTCCTGGCACTGAATGGCTGCTCAACAAATATTTGTTGAATGAATGTGTGAATAATACAGCTTAATTAACACTTTCTGAAAAAGAACCTATGACAAATATAAAAAGTGACCTTTTTCTTCTATATATGTAAGGTGCATAAATCAAAAAGTGACTGAGCAGGTATCTCAATGGACTTAGACATTTATTTATCCAAGGTGGAAGACATGCCCAGGAAACAAAAACAGAAACAACAAAAACCACAGAAGCATCTGTGATCTATGCGCTTTTCCAAAGGGTTTTTTTTTAAACTTCACTATTTAAAGGGGAAAGAGCAAGGTGGGAGGGGCAGAAAAGATGGGAAAGAGGGTAGGCAGTGAGGCAGATGGTTACATTCTTGTGAGGATCTAACTTCCTTCAGTAAATCTACATTTTACACATGAAAAGGAATTGTTTCTGGTTCAGTAAAATTACATTTTACATAAGATAAAGCAAACATTTGAAAAAAAGGGAGTGGGGAAATGAGGCTATGGCACAGGTTGTGAAATTACAGGTGTCTGTTTGGGAACAGAAGGAAAATATTATTAGTGCCTCAGTTTCCAAGCTTAACTTTCCCTTTGGCACAGTGAGTTTGGTGTCCTGAGATTCTATTTTTCTCTCACAAATTCTTCAATGAAAATGTAAAAAGTAAGCAGCCAAAGATACTTGGGTGGATAACAGAATCTTAACTACTAAACTATATAGGAATGCATTGCACCAACAGTCTTATTCACCATTCTTTGGAATCACCATTTAATTTGATTTAGTTCTTCAGTATTTTCCACTTCCTTTCTTCCACTCCCCTCCTCCTACACTCATTTCTCCTCTTTGTTCTTCTCCTTTCCCCTCTTTCTTCCCTCTTCCCATCTCCCCACTTCTTTCCCCTTTCTTCTCAGTCCCTCCTCTCACCTTCTTTATCTGTTCCTTCTTACTTCTTGACTCTTGGCACTTGGAGGCAACTACTAGCAGTTCCTTATGAAACTTGAGTGAGGTAGGTGAGAGTGGGTAGAGAGATGCAGATGGTAAGTTGCCATAGGTCAGATCTTGAAGGTCCTTGTGTTGACACACTTTTTCCTTCAGTTGTGGGAGAATTTTAAAGTAGATAAATAACTTCCTCTCATCTGTGCTATAAAAAAAATCACTCAAGCAGCTGGTAGGGGGAATGGATAGTTTGGGGGAGAAGGAAAGGGAGACCACCAGCAGCAGGGAGGCAGCAAAATTTTATAAAAGAGTAGTTTAAGAAAGCAATGTGGCTGGTGAAGTCTAGAGTAAGTAGGCATTGGAGAACATATTTGAAAGCTGCCTTTATGAAGCATGCACACGTTAATTACATCAAGTATTTTGGAGGATAAGATGACTCATGAAGATTATCTCACCCAATCTCAACCTCTTTGTTGCTGCCACTATAGGAAACTCATTTAGGAGGCTATTGAAGTTATCCAGGCCAGAGATTATGACAGCAGGGCCAAAAGCATCAGCAGTAAGAATAAGAGCAAACAGATTGTAGAAAACAGACTAATCATGACCTGGTCATTGACTTGTATGGAGAGCAGTGCATCTAAAGTGACTTCCAGGATTTAGTGTCATTCTAGACACTAGAATAGGAGCTTGTTTGGGGATAGTTGGTGGAAAGGAGGCAGGGGATTAGCTGGTGATAAGGCTAAAATTTACTAATCAGAAGAGAACAGAAAGGCAGTTGTGGGGAGAAGGAATCATACAGGATCCCAAGTGGAAAGTGTGGGAGCAGGCAGTACTCTGTTTTGGTGCAGTTTCTCTTCCTTCCTTCCTTCTTTTCTCATTAAAGTAATATATGTACATGGCTATATATAAATTATATGTATATTAACTATAAATAATATAATATATGCTAATATATCATATAAACAATATATAAGTAATATAACATTTTGCATTAACACAAAGTGTTAATTAAAATTATATTAACACCTTATTCATATTCTTGTTTTATATACATATTTAACATAGAAAGACTGAAGATGAAAAGTAACAGTCCCTTGACTCACCACTTCCTATTCCCTGTATCCCTCTGCAGAAGGAACGTCTTTGAATTCTTTTGAGCGTTTTTTCTGGTGGTCTCTATATCCAAATATAGTATGCGTTATATCTACCAGAAATCCTTCGGTTATCAATTCTAGACTGTATTCTTTGACTTCTTACTATGGTATAGGAGAATTTATTTCCCACAAGTAGGAAGATGGATGTGTGTGCTAAAATTCCTGACGAAGACCTGGTCCCAGCAATAATAATTATGGAATGCTTGCTATGTAGAAGAACAGTTCTAAGCGCTTTGGATGCATTAATCATTTAATTACACACTCAGTTACAATGACTAATAACAAAAAGTAAGAGAACAAAGAAAATGCTTGGCCTTCCCCGACAAAAACCGTTAAGGGCAGGAAAAACGTTTGGCTTGCAGGCTCTGAAGTTGCAACCTTTTCCTTTAATTCTCTACAGGGGATGGGTGGGGCCAGGCGAGCACATTACTAAAGAGCCTGGGGGTTCTCAGCGCTTTGCCCGGCCTGAGGCGCGGAGCAAGCGGAGGTCACGTGACGGTGACAAGCGGCACTCTGGCTTTCCCAGAGCAGTCTCTATGGTATTCTTCCCAGCCCACCCGCCCCTTGGGTAGCGGCAGTCACGTGACAGGCTTCGGTTTACGGCAGGTGCCCACGTGATCCTGGCCTGCAGTCGGGTGGCTACAGTGAGGTACCTGGGCTGCTGAAGGGCGGGCAGTTAGGTCGTCACCGCCGGAGTCTTCCAGCGGCAAGGCTCGGGAGCAACGAGCCAGCTGAGGCGGTCACCGCTTAGTGCTTATCGCACGGGTCAGCTCTTTCTGTCACCTCCGCCTTCGCGGTCCCCACCTCTTTGCGGGTGAAGTTACCTTTGGGTTTCGAGATCTTGGGGCCTGAGGCCCAAACTCGGGACGAATCCCCAACCCACCTCTCTTTTCTTCTCATCCTCCATCTGTTTCTACCACCAAATCACTTGGACTTTGAGCTGGCTAGTTCGGCCGTACCTTGAGGCCAAGTTCGGGGCGGTAAAGGTAACCGTGGGGAAAACGGCCCCCCAGTGGACAAAGACGGAGGCAAGAGTAGAGCAGGCCTAAGGGCCATAGGCGATGAGAATAGGCTGTTGAGGGGGTGAACAAGAAAACAAATAAACCAAAAAAAAAAAAAAAAAAAAAAAAGAAAAGAAAAAAAAAGAAAGAAAGAAAAGAAAAGAAAATTAGAAAGAAAACCGAGTACTGCGGATTTAGAAGGGACTGGAAAGGACTTGTTGCACAATGGAAGAATCTGACTCTGAGAAAAAGATGGAGAAAGAAAATCTGGGGCCGAGAATGGATCCTCCACTAGGGGAACCGGAAGGATCGCTTGGGTGGGTGAAGGGTATTATGTCAAACCTGGAAGGGGGGTGTTCTAATTGAAGAGATGATTATGAATTAGAACACCTCCCCCCAGCCCCCCAGTGATAAATTGCTTCGATTTATCAGTAAGGTTGATTGGTATCATGCTTTTGACGATAACATAAACTGGAAAGTGAACTGGTGCTGACTGGGCAGAAACCATCCTTGGGCTAGGGCTGATATTCCTGGTGGTGGTGGTGTGGGGTGTTCTAATTGAGGAGACAGTTCTGACTTACTTTGAATTATCAGTAAAGGAGATTTTATATCACCATGTTGGGGATTAGGAAGACTAGGAAAAGGATTGGCATTTCCAGATCAGACCAGTGGCTCCAGAGTGCTTTCTGTGCCAATTTGTACCTGAATTTGAGACGTGTACTATGTGTACTTTGTGCCTGTGATGAGTGAAATAGGGCTTGAAAGGGCAGCTGAAGGACTAAAAAGACACTTCCAGATTTTAAAAAATAGGAAGTTGATTTTTTAAAAAATATAGGATATTCAAATATGAAAATATTGTTTGATTCATTAGAGCACCAGTATGTCTTTGCTTTAATTAGTTTAAGATGGTGAAAAATTGAATCTTGAGTTTTAATGGCTCATTTGTATTCCTAAAGAAAGCATCCTGGGAGCTATCTCCTGACCTCTTAATTAGGGGATAGGGAACATATACTCAGTTTATACTTTAGGAAAATGGGGGCCCCTCTACTCAACTGAGGTCCCACACACAGCTGTACTCAGCTGGTACTAAACATGCTCTTTTACATCTCCATGTTTATTTATATTTCTTTAATTTCAATTCCTAAGGCGATTGGATCATGGAAACTCTGTCTTTTGGTTTATATCTGCAGGTGGGTGCTACCAAATACAGCCATGAAGAAAAAGGTAAGATGTGTTAGGTACATGGAAAACATGAAGGTAAAGGTAAGAAGTTGCTAATCAGGAAATATAGCATGTGATATATACAAAGGGTGCCAAAAAATGTATACACATTTTAAGAAAGGAAAAAAAAAATTGTAATGCTCAATATATACCGTTTGAATTCTGCAATTACAAGAGGTACTTAAAGTGGTTACCATCAGTGTCCAGACACTTTTGAAAAGTACTTTGAAAAATAATACATAGATAACATCTCTTAAAATGTTTATACTTTTTTGGTACCCTAGGTATACACACTTTCTTTCCTGAACTATTGCAGGAGTCTTCTATGTGGTCTGCCGGACTCTCATCCCCTTCTATGCTATCATATTTAATTTTTCTAATCTATAAAACTGACTGGGTCATTCATATACTTAACAACTTTGAATAAATTTTCAAAGCCCATAAAATAAAATCCAAATGATTTCATGGTCCTTTAAAAATATGTTCCTGACTAATCCATCTGCCATACCTATGTACCCTATCTCAGTCATCCAAAGTTTGTTCTTTTCTAAATTTACAAATTAATTTGCACTTTGTACATGGCACATCCTCACACAACATAAAGGCTTCTGCTTGCACATTTATTTTTTAACCTAACACAAATGTTACCACTATTAGGAGTGTCCAATTCTCCAAGTGAAATTGGACACTCCTTTCTTTGTGCTCTTAAGGTACTGTGCCCCACCTTGGAATTTAGGCATAATTGCAAAGGGCATAACTCTGGAGCAAATTTCTTAACCTTTGGGGCTTCAGTTTCCTCATTTGTAAAATGGTAGTAATAATATTACCTATATCATAGGATTGTTATTGAAGTTTAAATTAATAAATGCCTGTAGAGCACTTAGATCAGTACCTAACATGATTAGCCTTGGTAAGTCTTTCATAAACAATTGAGGTTAAGATTTTTTTTTAGTAAAACACAAAAAAATTCTGACTTCATTTAATAATTCAGTTCTATAATTCCAGTTTGCTAGGGAATGTTCTTGATGAGCTTGTATAAAATTGCTTTCAACAAGAATACCTAAAAATACCAGAAATTGCCATGATTAAGAACAAAAATAAGCTTGATTTAATCATTCTGCAATATTTACATAAATCAAAACATCATACTGAATTTACTAAATATATATATAATTTTTGTTTTAAACTTTTTAAAAAAAGAACAAAACTTTTTTGTAGTAACTTTATAGTGGCTCATATAGTGGCATTTCCTTAGTGAGATAAAGTTATATAGCTACATTGTTAGATTAAATCAAGCCCAAGTATAGTACATTTTTATTACTATTCCTTATCTGGGTGTCCCATAAAACCTGGAATTTATTTATTAAAAAAATGTATACTTACTCTTACATGGTTAAACTTCAGTTATCGTCAAAGTATTTTCCATTTGATGCACTACACGTATTGAGATGCTTTTTCCACTGTTCAAACAGTTTTTGAACTCGTCTGTTTTGATGCCTCTTAGTGCTTCTACCATTTTTTGTTTTACCTCTTCCACATCAGCAAAATGTTTCCCTTGGAAAACTTTTTTCATCTGGGGAAACAAAATAAAGTTGCTTGGGATGAGATTGGGTGAATGGGGAGGGTGGGGCCTGGTGGTCATGCTGATTTTGGTCAAAAACTGCTGAACACTCAGTGTGGGGTGGGCAGGTGCATTTGTAAATCACCCATCATGAAATGGGCAAACACATCGAAAGAATTGCCAAAAAAAAATCACTGAAGCTGAATGTGGCCTCTCACAACAATGTTAGCTGGTACACTGATGCTGATAGGTTCCTAGAACACTTACCTAGTAGGGAAGCCTTTACTACAAAGGGTCTACCCTTCAAAAAATAATTCTGGTTTTTTTGGGTCCCCCCCTGTATATTTGTAATTAGAAATTTTTATAAAATATCTTGGAATTGACAGTAGATTATGGACCCCCTTCATTCAAAATGCAAGGTAATTGGGACTATATTTTGTAATTTTAAGATTTGAAAGGACTCACTTTTTTTTTTTTTTTTTTGAGTTGAAGTCTCACTCTATTGCCCTGACTGCATTGCATGCTCATGGCCACCGCAATTTCGACCTACTGGACTCAGGTGATCCTTCTGCCTCAGCCTTCCAATTAGCTGGAACTACAGGCATGTGCCACCATGCCCATCTAATTTTTTTGTTTTATTGAAGAGATAAGGTCTTGCCAAGTTGCCCAGGCTGGTCTCGAGCCCATGGGCTCAGAAAATCCTCTCACCTCCGCCTCCCAAAGTTCTGGGATAATAGGCATTAGCCACCATGGCTGGCCTTGAAAGGACTCTTAAAAATCACTTTACTCAATTCTCTTGTAGTGCAGTAGTATACAGCATTGTTGACAGGTGTTTTCCTCTGTGTGAGATGCTAACATTGACAAGAAGGCTGTTTACCTTCATGAGGTCACCCTTTCCACTGGACAATTCTCATTGTTAAAAACTCTCTTGCTTTGTATCTTTGTCTTGATAACTTGCTCATTCTTTTGATGAATACATATTAGACACTGGGGATAAAAAGGGGACTCTCCCTGCCCTTTAGGAGCTGAGTATTGTGAGAGACAGGCCCCCAAAATCAGTAGCTGCAATGCATTATGGTCTTTGCAATGATATAACAGTACAGGAGGAAAGAGGTAAGACACTTAAGTCAGCCTAGAGCATTGGGGTCAGAGAAGCTTCTTGAGAAGTAGATTATTGAACCAAGTCTTGAAGGATAAGTGGAACTTGGCTGAAGGAAGAAAAGGGAATGGAAAGTTACTAACAGATAATACAGCATGAAACAAAGGCATTAGAGAGGCAGGACCTCCCAGAGGGCTGGGAGTAATCAAAGGGACTTCCAGCAGTTAGTTCAGAGTGACTAGAAGCTAAAAGTTCCAGGCCAAGAGGGACAGTAGATGAGGGCAGAGAGGTAGATAGGCTAGATCAAGGAGGGTCTTATATATAGTATAAGGATTTGATCCTCTAGATCATGGGAGGAGAGACAGAATAATGGGGTAAAATCATGGAGGCAAGTGGAGGGGATGAGATCAAGGCCAGAGGTGAAGGGGTTGACCTTGAGCAGAAGGAGGAAGAACTTTCAGTTGTATTGCAATCTTCTGCTAGGTGGTTCAGCACATAAAACATTGAATTATGAGGAAACCGGGTTTAGTTTCCTCTCAAGATAATCTTTTTCTAACTTAGTTCTGAACATATTAATAGTACATATTAATAACATAAATTCACTGCATTTGTATCACCAAGAAGATGTGTGACTTGTGACAGGTAAGTGCCTGACCCCTGGAAGTCTAAGTATCTATGCCTTCACCATTACTTGGGGAAGAGCTTGGTTAGTTAAAGGTATCCACACCAGGTTGTTCTTGCAGTCACTTTAGTAGAACATCAAATGCAGGAAAATAGATCTCTTGAGACTTGATTTGCTCTAGGTTGCTAACTTTTTTCCTTTCTTTTTTCTCACTTTGTTTTTAGGTGCTGTTGATGGGTAAAAGTGGGTCTGGTAAGACCAGCATGAGGTCTATTATCTTTGCAAATTATATTGCCAGAGACACACGTCGCCTTGGTGCAACAAGTAAGATGTTTTATCTTATTGTAAAGTCAGGTGATCTTAACTATTAATAATCTGCATAACACACTTGGTTGCAGTAGCTTGGGGATACAGAGGTTGAGAATTTTTTAATGGAGCATGTTTCCCCTTTTTGCATTCTTCCACAGAGAGTTGTGGGCTAATTTCAGTTACTACCGCTTGCTCTCTTGGGGAGGTTCTTTCCTTTCTAGGTTGCTTACTAAGTGGAATGCCCTTGTCCAACTTTTTTGCTTATCCTGCTATTTCTTAAACAAGCATAGAGATCCTTTTGTTTGTTCGTTTTGGGGGGAGAGTGTTTTTAACTGTTATTATACAAAGGGAAATTCACAGGTATTAACAAGCATAACAATAAAATCTCCTAAGATTCTTTTAAAACAATGGTTAAGCCGGGCTCGGTGGCTCAGCCTGTAATCCCGCGCCTTTGGGAGGCTGAGGTGAGTGGATTGCCTGAGCCCGCGGGTTCGAGACCTGCCTGGGAAGGCGAGACCTCATCTCTACAATAAAATCAAAAAATTAGCCGGGCATGGTAGCACGCGCCTGTAATTCCGGCTATGTGGAAGGCTGAGGCGGAAGGATCGCTGGAGCCCAGCAGGTTGAGGCTGCGGTGGCGAGAGTGGCCACTGCACTCCAGTCTGGGTGACAGTGAGACTCCAACTCAAACAAAACAAAACAAAACAAAACAAACAAACAAAAAAAAGGTAAACTGCGGGAATGGGGAGGAAGGAGGTTAACCTCATCTGTCTCTGTTACTTCTCTTCCTGGTTGCATATAGATGTTCTCATTGGAGTTTCAGCTTTGACTTGGGAAATGTGATACTGCCTTTTATGGTTTGAGTGTTAGTATAGACTAGTCAGGCTGCTGTGACTGCCCAGACAGTGAATCTAGGATCCTGGGAGATCCCTTCTGTCTCTGTGTGAGTACTATTCATTCTGCAGCATCCAAGCATTTCTGGATTCTGCCTTGGTCCTTGATTTCTAGGTGAGGAAAGCATTGCCGTACCTGGCCTTCAAAGATTCCTGATCTGGGTTTCTAGCATCTTTAACATTTTTAGGGATAAGACACTCTATAACGTTCTTGAAACTCTGGTTTCAAGAACAGCAAACATTTTTGAAACACATAATATTTCAGACCCTAGTATACAAAGGAAAAGGAAACCTCATTTCTCTTCTCATGGTGCTTACAGTGTAGTATAAGCTCTTATAATTGGGGCAGCCTTGATGATTAGAGAGCTATTTCTTAGGTAGAGACTGGAATCTATTTCCTTTTTTTTCTGTTAGCTGGTTCTCTTTCTGTTCTCTTAAGCCTTTGCAAATACTTGAGGATGGTAAATGTCTCAGTTTATTGTAGCCATCCCTTGCCTCCCACATCTTGTCTTCTTTAAGTTAAATATTCCCAGTTCCTCCATATATTCTTCATTTGACATAATTTTGAAGTATTTTAAGAACTTGTTCAAACTTGTCTACGTTTTTCTTAAAGTGCTGAGACTTGAATGCAGATGTGGTGTGATCAGGGCAGAGTGGGCCTATCACATCACATCCCTTATTCTGGACATTACGTTGCTGTTAGCACATCATAACTCCTACCTTCCTTTTTTTGAAATGACCCTCATTATACTGAGTCTTACAAAAAAAACCAACCCAATTTCTTTTCAAATATGTTGTTATTAAAACACATATCCTTCTGGTTCTTGTGCAGTTAATATTTTGAACCTAAGAATAAATGCTTATTTCTATTAAATCATTTAATTTTGTTTGTTTTAGTCCATAATATAGTCTCGTATCCTTTGTTTGTTAACTATGAAATCCAGGACAAGTCACTATCTCTCTGGGACTCAGTTTCCTTATATATTAAAAAAGGGATTGGATCCTGTTTTCATTTTAGCTACTTATTCTCTCATCTGATATCTTAGTTGTCTTTCCTAGCTCCGTGCAGTTTGCACATTTGATGAGTATATCATCTAGTTTTCATCTAAATCATCGGTCAAATATTTTGGTCAGGACAGTGTCCTCTGACCTGCCATGCCTCTGGAGTTGACATCTGTGGCTCCTCTGTAAAGTCTACCTGTCCAAACTTCTTTCTGTCTTGATTTGATAGATTAAAATTTTTTTTTCTTCCAAATTAAATATCTGGGCCTAATAGTTTCAGTAGATCAGAGGAAGCTAATCTGTATGGAACAACTGTTAGTTGCCAGGTTTTTGTATGCTGTTTTATTTATTTTAGTCCTCATATTAACTTTATTTTAATAGATGAATAAAGAAGAAAGTATGGCCTAGAAGTTAATTTAACTCAGGCAGTGAGCATTAGAACTGGAATGTCAATCTATGCTCTTGCTCCATTCATTAGGCCATTGCCTATCTAGCTTACCCTACTCTAAAAATTCCTGGCAAACTTTGTGTTTCAAATTCTGAATACTTTGTTGAAGCACCTTTGTTTTAGTTCAGTTGATGTTTCTGTTTTAGCTGATCAGCAGAGTTGATTTATTATCGAGTCCAGAGATTAGTTTTGCCACCAACATTTCAGAACTATTAAAACTGCTTAACATAGTTAAGACACAATCCAGCAGTATTATGATGAACAGAAAGTTGCAAATTATATGAACCTTATGAACTTTAAAGCAGATCATTTATTCAGCAAGTACTTTTCTAGAGCTTCCTGTGTGACAGGGACTGTCAATGGGACAGGGCTCTTGCCCTTAAGAATATCTCAAGTGGGACCTTTATTAATAATACTTTGTTAGCAATTACTGTATCTCCTTACTGGTAGTAAAAGTATACTTAAAAATATGTTGGCCTTAAGTTTTAGCATATCATCATTAGCTAGTTTATCATTGCTAAAGAAACGTGGATTCTATTGCTAAACTTAAGACTAGTTCACGGTACATGTAGTGCATTGCTTTTTCCTTGATATTCCTTTTTATGTAGTGCTGATTTCCTTTAAAAGTAGTGAAAGAGCACTTTTAAAATTACACATTGACTTGAATGTTTCAGTGTTGTTCTAGTTTATCATTTCTGAAAATAGTTCGGTTTCATTGTGTTAAACTTAGAGCCTACTATGTTTTGAAATTTGAAGTAAGAGTTCAGGATGGTGGTATTATTAATTTATTAGGGGACTGTTAAAATGTGTTTGTTGGAATAGTAAACTTGCCAATAAAAATATGATTATGAAGTGTTTTAGTCTCGAACACTGTTGACGGCTCCATGATTTCCTACCTTCTCAAAATTTTCTGTTCCCTTGGCTTTTATTTAATACTCTATTACCCTGGTTTTCTTCCTTTATCTTTATAACCATCCTTCTCCCCTTTTACAAAAAAATCTTTATCATAGTATTTTCTTCTTTCTGCCCCATAAGTGTATGTGATTCCCCATAGCTCTGTTCTTGGTTCTTTTTAGTTGCTCTTTTTGATAACAGGGTAGGGAGGTTAGGAGAACCAGAGGGCTATATATGGGGGGCTTGAGACTAAAGAAGGAAGCAGGAAGTGGGGGATTAGATCGTAAAACGTCTTATAAGCCAAGTTAGATAGTTTGAACTGAGGGTAGAGAGTTTTAAACAGAAAAGTGTCATGGTCAAATTTATGTTTTATTATTTCTAATTTCATTTTTAATTAGAAAAGTAATACTTGTGAAAAATTTAAATGTTACAGATGTATAAAAAATATATTCCCTCCCCATAGTCTATTTTGTAGGGGCAACCATCATTAGTAGTTTCTAGCCCTTTCTTTTCTGGGTATATGCAATCGTGCATATACAGAGAGACACTATTTTTATTTTTAAAGAAGAATGGAATAAAAATCTGCATTTTGGAGAGATCACTATATCTGTAATATGGGGGATAGATAGATTGGAGCGAGGCAAGGTGAAAAACAGGTTGACCAATTAGGAAACTGTTTTAGTAGACAAGGTAAGAGATGAAGGGGGCTTAATTTGATTTAGGATTAATTTTTTTGATGTTGGTAGATATGGTGAGAAGCAAATAGATTTGGGTTATATTTAAGAGGTAGAGTAACAAGACATGCTGGTAGATTTAGTGGAGAATGGTGAAGAAAGAGTGGAATAAAGGAAAAAGCTAAGGTTTTTATTTGGTCTACTGATTAAATTTGCTGAGGTGGAGAAGACCGAAAGAGGAATAGATTTTGTGGGAAGAAAAGGGAGATGATGAGCTATCTTTGGATACATTGAGTTTGGGATACTTGTGGTTTATTCAAATGGAGATGAACAATATATGAGTCAGAAAAGTTAGGAAAAAACTCTGTCTTAGAGATACCTATTTAAGAGTTATCAGTATCTAAATGGTAAGTCAAATAATATAAATAGATTAGCTTGCCTTAGGGAAGGTGGCCAAGGATGGAGTCCTGAAGAACTCCAACATTTAAGGGACAGAAAGAAGAATAGGAGCCTATAAAGGAGGATCTGCCAGAGAGGTCATAGGTATGATATCAGAGACCAAGAGAAGAGAATTTTTTGAGAAGAAGAGAGTAGTCAACAGTGTCATGCTGCAGAAAGTAGGACAAGGACTAAAATGTCCACTGAATTTGGTAATGGGGCCATTGGTTGCTTGATGAGAACTTCTCTGATGTGGGAGTAGAAACCAGATTTCTGTCCCATGTGCCCCATATCTAAACAGTCACTGAATCCTGTCACTTCTTTTGTTATTGTCTTTCCCTTTCTCAGTAGCACTTCTTTCCATTTTTTTTTTTAGTACTAGACCGTATACATAGTCTTCAAATTAATAGCAGTTTGAGCACCTACTCTCTCGTAGACTCTGTTGGAAATACAAAGACATGTAAGATATGATTCCTTTTCCAAGGAGGGGGAAGTAAAGGGGAGAAGGGAACTAGTTTGAGCACCTACTATGTGCCAGGCACTTTATGTATGATAACTCATTGAATCCTCACAGTAATCCTGTGAGCTCAATACTATGATCCCCTTCTTTTTTAATAGAAGAGGAAACTAATAATTCAGAATATAAGTGACTTGACCAAGGTCACACAGAGAGGTGGAGTGAATATTTGAATTAAGATTTGTCTGACCTGAAAGCCCATGCTTTTTCTTTGCTACTTATGATCTAGTTTATAAGATAAAATTGCACAAAAGTTAGTTAGCAGTCAATTTAAGCAACAGTTTTGAGGTAATCATAGAAGAAATACCACTGTGTGATTGACTGTCGCATAAATTGTATAGATAATAATTGCTAGACTTTGAGAAATGTTCAGGATAAAAACTTTCATTATTCATTCTTGGGAATTTTAGTGCCTGGCAGAGAGTAGATGCTTAATAAATGTTTGAATAAATTCGGAGGGAGAGGTGACGGTAAGTGGGAGTAGCCAGGCAGGGCTTTTAGAAGAGGTGGGATTTAGGCTGGGTGTTAAAAGGTGAATATATCTTTAAAACAAAGATGGGGAGGGCTTTCCAGTCAGATGAACAGAGTAGGTGAAGTATAGTGGGGAGGGAAGTGTAAGGCAGAGGCCGCAAACAGGCAGCCTGTATACTGGATAAGGCCTGTAGATGTAATTTGTTTGGCCTGTGCAATGTTTAAGAAAAATTGAAATTAGTTATCAATGTGTAAAAGTTTTCATAAAAATCCGATTTCCCACTATTATTGAAAAATTTAAAGATCTGGTAACTCAGAGCCTACATTCCTACCTGGCAAATGAGCAAGAGCTGAGTAACAACTACTGCCTACTCCACCATCCCATTGGGTGGATGTTTATCCGTCATATGTGGCCAACTTTGCTTGTGTACATTTACTGGCCTGGTCCCTATTAGCAAGTTTGCGACCCCTGATGTAAAAATTATTTCGGGGGTTGGGGAGGTAGTGGGGTTTGGGAGGATGTGAATAAACCAAATTGGGCTGGAGTGAAAGGCTTTATTAATGTGATTCATTGGTGAATATATAAGCAAATTGAAAGCCAAATTGTGAAGGACCTTGAATGCCCCCCCCAGGCATGGAGGAGCCATTGAAAGTGTTATGAATGGGGAGTGACATGTTCAAAGTAGTGTTAAGAAGATGAACCTGGCAGTAGCTTATAGGATAAGGCTTTCTTGCGGGGAGATCAGTTATGGAGCTACTATAGTAGTGTAGGCATGAGATGACAGGGGCCTTCCTTAATGTTAGTAGGGGTTTATAAAATAAGGAATGGAGTTGGGAGAGATTACAAAGGACTAGCAATGAATTGAATGTGGACAGAAGAGTCAAAAATGGGACATTAAATGAGAAGGAAATCAGTCACAGGAGTTAATTTGTTTGTTTTATGTTTCTTTTGTGTTTGGTTTTTATTGTTTTTTTGTGTGAATGTGGGAGAAGTTGGTTGGGGCAGATGGGACAGGGAAGATCTATGAAATGTTATGTCTCTGTCTTACATGTTGAAATTTTAACATTAGTATTATAATTGGAGGTTGTTTCTGCTCTAAGTACTAAACTACTAAAAATTAATATGCCTTACATAAGAGCCAGTTTTTTAGCTCAGGGTAGTTGCCACTAAACCACAGAACTAAGCTGAAAATCACCTTCTTGTTGTGGCTTTGAGCATTTCACTCCACTTTGGTCCTTCTAAATTTCATGGGTTAGTGCTTTGCTTATTTTGAATTTTACCTCGTATGCTGCAATTCCTAGATTTGTCATATTTATCTTCCAGTTGATGTAGAACATTCTCATGTTCGATTTCTGGGAAACCTGGTATTGAATCTGTGGGATTGTGGTGGGTAAGTATCATCTACTTATGTGTTTGTGAAGCTGATGGCAGTAATCATGGCATCTAGTATTAACAACATGGTGAATAAACCTAAAATTACTGTCATCTGTAATAGATACATTGGATAGAAATTACTTTAAAATTGGCACTTGACTAAATAAAGATCTCTGACTTGTACATCACTGTGAAAATGCCCCCTGTATGTGACATGTTTAAGTAGCACTAACACAAGCTCCTTGTAGGTATTTGTGTTTTTTTTTTTTGTTTTTTTTTTTGAATTGGGAGTCTAACTCTGTCACCCAGGCTGGTGTGCAGTGGTACACTCAGGGCCACCCCAACATCGACCTGTTGGGCTCCGGCAGTCCTTCTGCCTCAGCCTTCCAAGTAGCCGGAACTATAGGTACGTGCTACCACACCCAGCTGATTTTTTATTATTGTAGATACTATGTCTCACCAAGTTGCCTGGGCTGGTCTTGAACCTGTGGGGCTCAGGCAATCCACTCGCCTTGTCCTCCCAAAGTGCTGGGATTACAAGCTGAGCCACCAAGCCCAGTCCATGTAGGTATCTGTAGTATGGAATAGATTATGCCCTCTTTTGCAGTGGAATAAATTAAGTTTCTGTCTCAGGCAACCTGACACCAGTGCTGAGCTCTTCACTGTCATACCATCTTGCTTTGTTCTTAGTTACTTCAATAATTTTCTCCAGGATGCCTCAGCACTGTAGATCAGACATTGAGCACCTAATCTTTAGCTAGGTTTTCTACTTTTAGAAGAGTAGGAGATAACTCTTCATGAATGCACACATACTGTGATTGTATGCTGATGTTGCTCCCTACCCTATTTGCCATTTATACATCTGTGCTGAAGCAGCAGTGTGTAGTGCACAGTGGTTGGGAGTCTAGGCTCTGGAGTTAGACTGAGATTTATATCATAGCTCTCTTAGCTGTGTTTATCTTGGACAGATCATTTAAACTCTCTGAGCCAGTTTCTTCATCTATACATAGGGATAGCAATAGTACTAGTTAATAGGGCTGTTTTGATGATTAAGTAAGATAATATATTTAAAAAATGCACAGAAAAGTACCTCACAAAATTAATAGATATTATCATTAGCTCAGTGTTTCCTAGCATTGTCAGCCATAGAGTAGATGCTTTATGAATATTTGTTGAAAGAATAATGCAGTAGCCAAATACTCTATAAGAAAATGACTATTCCTGATAGCAGATGGATCACTTAACACTCTGGCACCATTCTCCCGTAAAAATCCTTCCTCATTATCACTGCTTCCAATCTTCCTTCCTTCCTTCCTTCCTTCCTTCCTTCCTTCCTGCCTGCCTGCCTGCCTGCCTACCTCCCTCCCTTCCTTCCTTCCGTCTCACTGTGTCACTTGGCTGGAGTGCAGTGGCACACTTATGGCCACCGCAGCCTCGACCTACTGGACTCAGGAGATCCTTTCACCTCAGCCTTCCAAGTAGCTGGAACTACAGGCATGTGCTACACGCCTGGCTAGTTTTTTGGTTTATTGTTGAGATGAGGTCTCGCCAAGTTCCCCAGGCTGGTCTTGAACCCCTGAACTCAGGCAGTCCTCTCGCCTCAGTCTCCCAAAGTGCTGGGATTACAGGCGTGAGCCACTGCATCCAGTCACTTCTTCTAATTTTCTAATCTGTGTCAAGAGTGACTGTTAGGCACTAAGATATAATCTTCAGTTTTAAAGGTAAGGCAGCTAAAGTTCAGGGACATTATGATTCTCCCAACACCACACAACTAATTAATAGCAGAGTGCAGGAGTAGAACCTAGGTTCATGATCTTTTTCCCCCACCACATAATGCTACTATTTTCTGTTGGCCAGCTGGTAGTTGACAGCTTCTTGGAGAGCGGCACATAGCCTAAGGAGCAGAGAGCATTGTTTTGCTAAAAAGTTATCATTGCAGTCATTTTCATGTAGTTTAGAATATTTAACTACTGAATTATTTATTCAGCAAATGTTTATTTAGCACTTAACACTCTGTTATTAGCTGGGAAACAATGGAGAATAATAACACATGATTCTTGGCTTCTTGGAACTTGCTGTCTAGAGAAGTGAATACTATTAATGAAAAACTCAGACAAACAAGTATAATATCACATTTGTGGTAAGTGTTGGAAACTAAAGGACTGTATTGGTATAAGAGCCTATAGTGAGTCGATTGACCCAAGTCAGGGAGGTCATGGACGGTTTCTGTGAAGAAGTATGAATTGAACTGAAATCTTAAGGGACAAACAGGAGTTAATTAGATAAAGAGGTAATGGGCTAGCATCTGAGACAGGATGAATAGCATGTTTAAGGCTACATGGTGGCTAAACCCTGAGGAACTGGGAGACGGTCAGTATGTTTAAAACATAGGGAGGGGGCAAAGGGTGGTACAAGTTGTGACTTAAGAGGTAAGAAAGCAAAGCCAGACCTATTTGCTATTATTTACCCTTCAAATTGAAGCCTTAAGATTATCTTTTATATTGATGAAGCCAACAAAAATAGATCATAAGCAGTAGTTGACAGAAGACTGACTTACTATCTAGATTTTTTTTTCTACCAGACAAGACACCTTTATGGAAAATTATTTCACTAGCCAAAGGGACAACATTTTCCGTAACGTGGAGGTTCTGATTTATGTCTTTGATGTGGAGAGTCGTGAACTGGAAAAGGACATGCACTATTATCAATCATGCCTGGAGGCCATTCTGCAGAACTCTCCAGATGCCAAAATCTTTTGCTTGGTACACAAAATGGATCTGGTACAGGAGGATCAACGGGACCTGGTAAGAAATAGAAAAGGTGCTGCACCAAATGGCTGACATTCTTTGCAAACTGTTTTTGTAGGGGTATAGGTAAATTTGTACCATTGTTTTTTTCAGGAAAAAAAAAATCTCAGCATAAGCTTTCAAAATAAAATTCTATCATTTGCTTTGAAAAACACTCTTAAACACATTTAACATGATAAGAGAAAGACATTATTCGCTTAGTGAATAATTCAGAATTAGGTAAGGAATCTGACCATGTAATCTCACTAAGCAGCCTTTATTTATTTGTAAAATATATTTGCTGCCCCTGTTTTATTGTCCTTCAGAGCAGGGCGATAATGTCAAGGCTGAGAAGACCCATCAGGAATGAAATGAAGAAAGGTCACTATTGTCACTAGACTTAGGAAACTGGTATGTATCAGCTCAAGTGTCAGCCACACTGTGTTAGGCACTATGCCAGATACTTCATAACTACACTGACATGGTATAGTTCTCTTCCTTTCTGGCATGGGAACTAGTACACACAAATTTATACCAGAGAAGACACAGTAGGGAGTGATGTCATCAAGATAGCAGAGTAGGAGATGCCAGCCTTCGTCCCCCCACAAAAAAGCAAATATGAATAGCTATCCACAAACCAAAGTAGCCCAGGGAGGGCTCAAGGTCCCATTACAAAAAAGACTCAGTAGAGTGGGTAAACCACTACCTAGCTATAAGACTCCGGGACTGGCAAGTCACAAACATAGTCTAGCTTCAGTATGCTCAATAAAATAAGATGATTGAATTTTAAGGTCTAAGCTGAGAGAGATCTTCCTCTGTTTCTAAGGGTACAGCTAACGAAAGCAGTTTTAGAATATGCTGGTTGTATTTCTTCAAAGAGAAAGTTTCTCTTTGAGTTAGAGTGTAAGAGTCTAAGGACATTCTAAAGGATTTTTAGACAGCAGCCGTGGTAAGGAATCCCTTTTTCATGCATAGTTCTAGGATTGCCTCCACTGTTTCGGTGTTTTGGCATTTCTAGGTTAGCTTATAAGCTTTCAAAAACCATTTGACAGAGTTCTACAGTTGACTCAGAAAACACTTTTGAGCATCTAGTTGTCTTTTTAGCTGCTTCTCCTTCTGCCATTAAATATTAATTCAGTTTTAATTCAGCCAAAAATCATGTATGTAATTTGGGTCTAGAGTTTGTGAGGGCTTTGTTATTGTTGCCCTTATTGTTTTGTTCTATTTTGTTTCCTTTAAAAATTGCTTTATTGCCTAGCCAAAATTGCAATAGAATAACTTAGAGCATTCCAATAAATGAACTCCCTATGTATGTTTTAATGACTTGTAATATTAAGTGATCATCTTATTGTTTTCTAAATGCTTCTGTAAATATCCCCAAAGATGTTCTTCAAGGGATTTTAAGACTAATTAAGAAAAGTATACTCTTTATTTTATTAAAAGTTTAGACATGGAAGTTTTAAAGTAAAAGTAGGATACTAACATAAATATCATTTTTAGCTGAGATAGTTATTTTACTCTATGCATTTATGTTAGTTCGGGATCTTTAGGGAAATAGAACTAAACCATGTGTGTGTGCATGTGCATGCGTGCATACATAGAGAGACAGGAATTGGCTCAATGATTGTGGAGATGGGCAAGACTGAAATCTGGAGGGCAGACAGGCCGGAGACTCAAGAAACAGTTGATGTTACAGCTCAAAGAAGGTAAAATACCCTCTTCACTGGTGATGCCAAGCTTTTTGTTTTAAGGCCTTCAACTGATTAAATAGGGCCCATTCACATTATGGAGGATAATCTGCTTTATTCCTGATTTAACTGTTAATCTCATCCGAAAAATACCTTCACAGCAATATCTATACTGCTGTTGGACCAAATGTTTGGGTACTGTGGCCTAGCCAAATTAACACATAAAACTAACAGTTGTAGCCCACCCCCTATGAACTTGGCACTCAGGCACATCTCCTGAAGCCATACTCACTTCTCCAAATAATGACAATACTTCCACCTAATACGATATAAGTATCCTGCATACAACAAAAAATGGACTGCCCTTCCCCAGAAGAGGATGTAAAGTTCTTAGGTAATGTTTACTCTTTTTGCTATCCTGTAACTTAAATATTACAGTGTAAGTTAATAATGCTTAAAATATTATTATATAAAGTTTATACATCTTATCTTCATGATAAAAGCACAGGAGAGAGAAGAAAAAGATATTTATATAATAAACACATATTTTTATTTCAATAACTTTAAAGGGTACAAATAGTTTTTGGTTACATGGATGTATTGTATAGTAGCAAGGAAGTCTGGGTCTTAAGTGTACTCACCACCCCCACCTGTGCTTATTGTACCCGATAGGTGATATTTCATCTCCCACCTCCTTTTCACCCTCCCCCTTATGAGTCTGTAGTGTGTGCTTTGAAGATCCTTAGATTAGCTCCCACTTGTCAGTGAGAACATACAGTGTTGGTTTTCTTTTCCTTTCTTAGTTTACTTAGGATGATGTTCTCCAATTCTTTCCAAGTTGCTGCACATGACGCTATTTCATTCTTTTTATGTATGCGTATAGGTGTGTGTATGTGTATCTACATCACATTTGTATTATCCACTGATCAGTTGATGGGCATTTAGGTTGATTGCACATCTTTGTCATTGTGAATTGTGCTGTGACAAACATCTGAGTGCGGGTGTCTTTTTTGTATAATGGCTTTTGTTCCTTGGGATAGATACCTAGTACTGGGGTTGCTGAATCGAATGGTGGATCTTCTTTTAGTTCTTTGACAATTCTCCATACTGATTTCCACAGAGATGGTATTGATTAGCATTCCCACCACCAGTGTGTAAGTGTTGCCTTTTCACCACATCCATGCCAGTGTCTATTGTGTTTTGATTTTTTGATAATGACCATTCTGACTATTATAAGATGGTATCTCACTGTGGTTTTAATTTGCATTTCCCTGATAATTAGTGATGTTGAGCATGTTTTCATATGTTTGTTGACCATTTATATATTTTCTTTTGAGAGATGTCTATTCATGACATTTGCCCAATTTTTTTTTTTTTTTTTGAGTTGGAGTCTCACTCTGTCGCCCAGACTGGAGTGCTGTGGCCGCTCCTGGCCACCGCAGCCTCGACCTGCTGGGCTCCGGTGATCCTTCCGTCTCAGCCTTCCGAGTAGCCAGAATTACAGGCATGCACTACCACATCCAGCTGATTTTTTGATTTATTGTAGAGATGAGGTCTCGCTGCCCAGGCGGGTCTCGAACCCGCGGGCTCAGGCAATCCACTCACCTCAGCCTCCCAAAGGCGCGGGATTACAGGCTGAGCCACCGAGCCCAGCTCATTTGCCCAATTTTTAATGGAGTTATTTGCTTTTTGCTTGATAATTTGTTTGAGTTCTTTGTAAATTCTGGATATTAGTCCTTTTCCAGATATATAGTTTGTGAATATATTCTTCCATTCTGTAGGTTTCCTATTTACTCTGTTGATTATTTCTTTTGCTGTGCAGAAGCTATTTAGTTTAATTAAGTCTCATTTATTTTTGTTGCATCTGCTTTGGGGGTTTTAGCCATAAAATATTTGCCTAGTTCAATGTCCTGAAGAGTTTTTCCTAGATTTTCTTCTAGAATTTTTATGGTTTTGGGTCTAAAATTTAAGTCTTTAGTTAATTTTTATGTATGGTGAGAGATAGAGGTCGAGTTTCACTTTTCTGCATGTAGCTGTTCAATTTTTCCAGCACCATTTGTTGAATAAGGTGTTTTTTCCCCAGTGTATATTTTTGTCTGCTTTGTTGAAGATCAGTTGGTTGTAGGTATTTGGGTTTTTTTCTGGATTCTTTATTCTGTTCCATTGGTCCATGTCTGCTGTTGTACCAGTACCATACTGTTTTGGTTACTATAGTCTTGTAGTATATAATTTGAAGTCAGGTCATGTGACGCCTCTAGCTTTGTTCTTTGTGCTTAGGATTGCTTTGGCTATTCTGGTTCTTTTTTGGTTCCATATAAAGTTTAGGATTGACTTTCCTAATTCTGTGAAGAATGATGTGGTAGTTTGATAGGGATTACATTATACTTTGGGTAATATTGTCATTTTAATAATGTTGATTCTTTCAATCCATGAGCATGAGATGTTTTTCCATTTAGTTGTGTCCTCTATAATTTCTTTCATCAGAGTTTTGTAGTTCTTGTAGAGATCTTTCACCTTCTTGGTTAAATACGTTCCTAGGTATTTTAGCTTTTTGGCTGTTTTTGCAAATGGAACTGAGTTCTTGATTTGATTCTCAGCTTGGTGTTATTGGTGTATAGCAGCAGTGCTACTGATTTGTGTGTGTTGATTTTGTATTCTGAAACTTTACCAAATTAATTTATCAAGTCCAAGAGTCTTTTGGAGAAATCTTTACAACTTTCTAGGTATAAGATCATATCATTGGCATACAGAGATAGTTTGATTTCTTTTTTTTTCAATGAGATGTGCTTTCTTTCTTCCTCTTGCCTGATTGCTCTAAGACTTCCAGTACTATGTTGAATAAGAGTGATGAAAGTGAGCATCCTTGCGTTGTTCCAATTCTGAGGGGGAATGCATTCAATATTTTTCCATTCAGGGTGACATTGATTGTGGCTTTGTTATATATGGCTTTTCTTATTTTGAGGAATGTTCCTTCTATGCCTATTTTGCTAAGGGTTTTTATCATGTAGGGATGCTGGATTTTATCAAATGCTTTTTTCTGTGGCTATTGAAATGATCATATTTTTGTTTTTAATTGTTTATGTTTATTGACTTGTATATGTTATACCATTCTTGCATCTCTGGGATAAAACTTGGTCATGGCGGAGTATTTTTTTTTTTTTTTTGTATGTCCTGTTAAATTCAGTTTGCTAGTATTTTGTTGAGGATTTTTATGTCTGTGTAATTAGGGATATTGGTTTATAGTTTTATTTTTTCATTTTGTCTTTTCCTGGCATGATTCTGGCTTCATGGAATGAATAAGGGAGAATTTCTTTCTTTTCAATCTACTGG